CAAAACCACCTAAAATGGGTCAAAAATGATAGAAAATGAGTCCAAAAAGTCCTCAAATCTGTATGAAACACCTAAAACTTAACTCAAATGGTCTAAAAATACTAACAATTCAGCGAAACATACTCAAACATTGTCCAGAATTACACAGAACTGATCTCAAATTGCATAAAATTCGTCTAACACGAGTGAAAAAAGGCTTAAAAGTGGTGTGACTTTCCTCGACAGCGCTGCTCCTCAGTCATCGACCAGTCATGAACTTGAATTTGTTTCCATATAATGTTTAATGACAGTCATGAAAAAGGCTTAACTGGCTTTACATCCAATGTTTCAGTGTCAGAATAAAACAACACAGAACTGTCATGACATGTATGTTTCTGTAGTGTTGAATTAAAGCCAGACTTTAGTGGTTCTGATGACTTAAGTTCATCAGAACCACTGCTGACACACTTTAAACATCTGACAGTCATTTATGACAGTGGAATCAGTCACAACAATAAAATAAAACGCTGACCGTCTGCTGCACTCATACGATGATAAAACACACAAACATCAGGATTTGTAGTCAGGAGACGCATGTCTGAGTTTATATCTGTGGTCAAACGAACATTTTATCGTCTTCATTCAAGAGAACGTCTCAGCATCGATCCTTTAGTGTTTATCGCTGACGTGAATAAATCAGAGCGACGGCACGTGTTTCACTGGAAATCAATAAATACTAATAAAGACTAAAAACACAAGATGCTTAAAGCTTTAAAACATGTATGAAGGCTCTCATATATGTTTGAGCTCTAAGAAAAAGCTGTAAGGCTTAAAAAAGAACATATGAAATGTGTCTTATTCAACCAGAATCACTTCCTGCGTCTCACTGAATCAGAAGATTTGTTATTTTGAACCAGATTCAGTAAAAACAAAGAAAAACCAGATGTTCAGCTCGAAGAATGAATCAAATCTGAGTTTAAAGTTGTGATGTTTAGTTCAGTGGCATCATTCAACACGTGTTATGTTCAAATGACCCAGAAAACCTCATGTTGGTCTAAAGAGAGGCTGTAGAAGCTGAGCGCTGAGCAGCAGCCACCGTCTGACCGAGACAGGAAGTCAGACTTTCACTGGGAGGAAAAGACTTTTCGCTGGGCGGAAAACCAGAGCTGCTGATCAGAACCAGAACCAGGCTGAGAGAACGACAGCAGGTGAAGAAGAGAAGGCGCATATTCCACTACATGTGGACAATGAGGCAGAACATGAGGGAAACCAGAAAGACAACAACATGGAAACGAGACAGAAAACAGCCGAAGCGTCAAAACCAGACACCAACCGTCACAAAGAGACGACGTCAGAGTCGCTTTGCTGCTCCTGCTCGTCACATTCCAGCTATTTGGTGTCTCAGTTTGATCATTCTGCCTCATTTCTATCCTTTTCTGTCTCATTTCAGTCCCATTACACTGCAAACATTAATAGTCTTAATATAAGAAATAAATACTTGGTTTGAGCAGATATAGACTAGAATGAAGTGAAATATTCTGCCAGTGCAGTGAGATAATCACACCTGGTCAGAGTTCTTGAAATAAGACAATAAATAAATATATACATGTTAGGCCAGTGAGAAATATGTTCAAACAAAACAAGTGGTGAAGAACTCGTTCCAAGGACTGTGTCAAGTCACATCATCTCAACACTAGCTTTTAATTCTTATTTCACTTTTTGTTTCTTACTCAAACTGAGTGAAAAAAACATAAATCCAGAGCAACTTAACGAGATGATTCGTCTTAATTCAGGAGTTACGATCAGCTTTTATCTAAAGTCAATTCACAGTATTTACACTCAGTTAAAATCCTACAGAGAGAATATTGCCAACAGCATGTATTTGAACTGCTGACAGAACACCTGGACTCCTTACAGTGTTTACTATCATTATAACATCCTCCCAATAAAGTAGCTGTGAACCAGTCAGAGGCACCAGAGGCTATGACCTCATTATCTCTGATGACATTTACAGGATGAGGCAGAACACGGGAGGAAAAAACTGCTTTGCATGAACAAAACCAGACAGCAAGTCTTCAGGATTTGTGTCAGACTTCATAAAACATCATCATTATCGCTACAGTGAATGCATACTGAGAGCTGTCCACTGTTACACACCTGTGCAGCACGGAGCAGCTGATGGAGATCAGCATCCAATCACATCAGGTTCATTGTCACCTTGCTGTACAGACAGGATGAGAGAGGATCCAATAACTACAAGCAGCTAAATAAAGAACCATGTGCTTATCTGGATCAGCAGCTCAGCGTTCTGACGGCTGGTGGAATGAAGCTGTTGGTCAGTCTGGAGGTTCTTCCTTCAACGCTCTGGAAACGTTTTCCTGATGGCAGCAGATCAAACAGTTCATGGAGAGGGTGACATTTTCATTTCTGTTTGAGGAGGTTTTTGGCTTTTAAAGGCTGTGGTCTCAAACTGCTGATCAGCTGATGAGCAGTCTGTTGGGAGTTCAGTTGTTGTTTTCGGTAAACTGCCGGCTCACAGCTTCTGGTCTCTTGTTCCCGTTTCTTCTTTTTGCATTTTGAAGCTCTACTTAGAACCTTCCTAAGATCCAACAGTACTAAATGCAAATTCATGCAATTTTTTAGCTGGTCTTCAGCTTTTGATCAGGAGTGTGTTGTAGTTTCACTGTTCTACCACTAGATGGCGTGCGTACGCATGGTCAGAGCTGTGCTTATATTTACGCACATTCCTAAGTACAGATATAGAAGTTGATAGACTCCATACTTTGTGTGGAAATGTTCTCTGCACTGATGATAAATGAGGCTCCAGGACTTTATGTTGCAGTGAAAAATTTGCCCAGTGAGGAAAAACGAGCAAACAGTTGTTTGAAAAAGTTTATTTAAAAAAAAAAAAAAAAAGAGTACAGTATGCTGCCAATGAACTAAGGTTAGCTTGTAGTTGAAGAGCTCCTTCTACCTGCACTCTGCATCCTGATGTGCTTCATCCGCTACTGGGAACATAAACTGTGAAGGTAGTGTTATCTGATTTTTCTGCTTCATCACCCACAACAACAGCAGACCACTTCTGACTCTCAGTCGGTGATTCATCCGATTAATTCGGCCATTTTTAGTGTCATTTGTGATGAACGAGGTGATAAAATAACACCAGCTTTGTGGTTTCAGCTGCTTGTTGAACCTTTCAGAGCGACAAACTGTTGTTTTGTGAAAACGCTGCAGAAACCCATCAGGCAGTTTGAGTACAGCCAGAAGAAACACTTTGGCATCTTGTCTAAAGGGAATATTGCACTGAGGTATTTACAAGGAAACAAGCTCTTTCTTTAGGCCGAATACAGACTGAAGTCCTCAGCTGTTCAGACACACAGTGTGATGTGTGATGGTGTGACACCAACCACACTTCAGATGTCCTCCAGTCTGAAGCTGTGAGCCAACAAATATTCACAACTTTTCTTTTCATGTTAAACCATCACAGAAGCTAAACACACGGCCGTCGGTAACTTTTCTGCAGATTTTAACCGTCAAACAAGAAGAAATACGTTGAAACAGCTGAAAGAGAAGCAACAAAGAGAAACAATAGAAAGTCTCACTGTACATCGAGTTGATTGTCAAAGGCACTGAATGTTTTCAAAAATGGAGAATGCACTTTCATCAAAGAGAATAATGCTCAAAGTTCACATAGACTGTACCGTCGGCAGTTTGTAACAGAGCTCAGGTTTTAAAATGACACGACCCAGGTTAACTCTCAAACCCAAACAGGCTAATCACCAGAATGACTCCATTAATCAGACACAAACTAGAAACACAAAAAATCAATCATCCATCACGAACATTTACCAAATCTGAGCCTAAAACTTCATCAAAGTCACTTGATTCTACTTGTCCCACATAAACTTGGCCAAAAATTGAAGCGTTTGCTGGAACCAGAACCTGTGAAAACCAAAACCTCCGTCCCTCCTCCGCAGAACTGATTCTCAATAACTCACTCAGCTGTGACGGAAAAACTCAGTCTTCAGGTGAACTGCAGGCAGCGTTTCCACAGACGACAAGAGAGACCTGCTGGACCATGAAAGTAAATGCAGCATGGATCAGAACCAGAGAACAGAGGAGCCAGTTGGTG